ACATAAAATCCTGATTTGATTCTGGTTGGATGATGAATGCAGATTTTATCACCTTTACACTTTCCTCAACCGTTGAAAATTTTCAAAAAGGTTGTTTTCCTGCTCTGCATCAGTTATATTGACCAACATTCCTTCAACGCTTTGAACAAAAACTTGTTGAAGGACTAAAAATTAAAAGAACAACAAGAAATGAAGAAAGTGAATTTCTGTCAAGAGGCCTTTGCATACATGTATGTCAGTTTTACGTGAAGGAAGCTGTGTTACCAAGTCCTTAGAGCAACTTCAAGCTCTTCACCCTGTTACTTAAAGGATTTGTTCTCAGCTGCTGTGAGTTCAACTACACTAGCTACAATTTGGACATTGTCAACAACATGCCTACCTGGAAATTAACTAACCCCATTTTTCTTGCCTTGATGAGCCCAGAAGAAAACTCCATGCAATTCAACCAATTGTTAGTGTCTTGATTCAGAGTTAAAATGCATGAAAATGTTAGGGTGATTCCTCACTTTATCACCGCGTATCCTGTATTGCACATTAAAATCATGTAATCTGGGAAATGAGCACACACAAGTTCCGAGAACATGGTAATGTTTTTAAATCCATGGACCAGGTAAAGAGGCACGACCATCTTTAGCTCTATGAGCAAGCACAGTGACCCATACTTTTTATTGCATAAATTTCATGTACCATTTATCCCCTTTAAATTGGGGATTTAAAAAAAAATCTCCAAAGGGTAAAAAAGATAAACCTTAAAGCATGCACAAATTAGCCCTTTACTTGAGGATTCAAATTATGATCTTGAAAGGAACGACTCAAGGAACATTTTGAGTCTATGTCATTTAAATTTACTTGATTTTCCTACTATTTATATACGAAATTGTTCCATATGCTCCAAACTTTCTATGTACCGTATCAAGTTATTTTCAAGGGTTACTTTAAAAACCTTAGCTTCCACCTGCAGCAAAATGTACTGTGAACTGATGAAATGACACTCATTGATTAGTGCCACTGTACAGGCATAAATGGGGTATGTTTGGCCCGTTATTTAATCTCCTAAACAAGCACATTGACTTATCTTTTTTTAAAATTAATGTATTTTTCTAAAGAGACATTTGTAAGGAACATTTAAGGAAAGTTTAAGGACAATTATTCAACAATTTTTTTTCAGAGAAATTGCCTTAACTAAATTTATGTCTTTTAAAAGAAAGATACTTAATGCTCTTCTGTTTTCCAGTTTTAACTCATTCACGAAAAAGAAAAGCAAAGGTGACAACAATCTTCAATCAAAGTGCTTCTGTTATAGTTTAAAAGGCACTCAGTAACAGAGACAATCTGTTACTTGTTCTAATTTATCCCAAATTCTTCATTTTAAAAGAAGTTTTACAAATTAAGGTTCATTTAGTTTCTTTTCAAATCCATTTCCTACACCACACAGTTTATAAATAACAAACATTCTCAAGTCTCTTTGTCTACAAGAAAGTGTTCCAGAGGACAGAGCCACGCTAAGGGATAACTGATTACAATGAAACTTGTTGCAAAAGATACTTTGGTGAGAATTATTCCAAAAGCCACAGAAATTACAATTTCTGCCTTTTGCCTTAAAAATTCCAGGGGAGACCACTTGATGCCTGCAGAGTACAACTGAAACTTAGGTTCCACAATGTCTAACTAAGCTAAATTAAAAATCTGATGAGACAAATTGGCCAATTTACATTTAAATGCTTTTGAGGTCCACTTTAAGGAACTCAATCAAAAATTTGAATTTTGTAAAAGGGATTAACCTTCTATCATTTTTTCGCACTTATTTTAATACTTAAGAACCTGTGATAAGCAATCATTCTCGCAATAAATCACCATGATAGAATCTTAAATTCATTTAGAATAAAATCATTAAACAAAAAGAATAAAAGGTGTTGCTCTTTTGATCATAAATATGTTTACAATGCGGCTTAAAATGGAAGTGCAAGTCCTCCAAAACATATGCAAGTCCTTCCAAACAAAGCCATGCCAACTGATGTACATGAAAAATACATTTTGCATCTGCGTCAATCTATATACTGAAGCTTAAGGACAATTAAAATTATCGATTTCTCGCCTCAGTTCGTGACCGATATTGAAGAATGTAACATGACTTGGATCACGCTACATTTCGAGGAGAGGATTTTGAATGTTTAAAATAATCGCCCAAATTTCGTGGAGTTTGTTGTGATTAACGAAAACAAAACAAAAGAAATCGAAGGGTTGGTGCATGTTAGGATAGTTCATTTGAGTTGTCCAACGGGCGTAACTAAGTCTGTGGACAGGAGATCATTGTTTTGTCCATCACCCCATTCCTTCGTGATCAGTGCAACATTTGTGAAGATGAGTAAGTAACGTTCCTATGTAATAACATACATTTCATTGTCAAAGTTCTTTGAAGATCTCTCACCTGTCGAGGGGTTCCTGGTAAACATTAGAATTTCAACATGGTAGAAAGACGTTACTGAACACATCCGATGTACAAAGTGAAGATTAGACGATTTTTAGGATTGGTCATCATCATCCGTCATCAAATGTAACACAATTGTCAAAATAAACTGACTATTCAGTGCGACATCGGTTCTTTCAGTCCTGAACTCGTGGCAACTCGTCCGCCATTTTGAATGTGGCTGTTAAGAAACTGGGTTGAGAGCTAGTCTTGGCCAATCAGAAAGAAGACGTTGTTTTAAGAAAAATCTGAGTTCTTAACTTCAACGAATCTGGATTTTGATTTTGAAATCGGGAATTCGGATTTTGCGGTAAAACACGTAATCTAAAAACGACTTTCAACGCTGAAAAATCCATCCTCATAGTGGATCTCAATTAAGAAATCTAACTCCAGATCTCATGGATTTCCATGTTTTACGTTTTTCCGGGAAATCCAAAAAGGAAAACGAAAAAAAATATATATATATTAGCTCGGGATTTTTAATGGAAATCCACCTTGGGGACAGATTTTTCAGCGTCGAAATCCGTTTTTGCTTTTCATTTTTTACTGCAAATCTGTATTTCAAAATTTTAACCCGGATTTACCAATCGAAAGCACCCAGAACTTTAGAGCCGTTTTCCCAATACTCGCAGTTATTTTGGGCTCTTTTGAATAGAAATATGATTATTTTTATATAGTCAACAATTTTAAGGCTTTTCGACTATCTATTAAGGTCATCCTCGGCAGCAAGTTTCTTCAAAATTGGTTCATCCACGTCCAGCCTACGTGTAGCCGTACTTGGCGAGGGGCCCGGGAGGGGAGGGTACGGCTACTAGTGGGCTAATCCATGTCTCCACTTTCTGGGAAATTTTCTCTCTGACAATAACACTTGAAACATTAAAGAGAAAATAATGGCCTTAATCTTCTCTTGAAACATTTAAATCATTCTTATGATTCACTTTCAACAAAATGCATTTGAGTGATGTACGCATATAAGCCGATAGAAAAAAAAGAACCCATCCAACTATTATGGAATAACCTCTTTGATGATCATTGGTTTGATGACGGCAGTGGAAAGACAACAATATTGTCTAGCCTTCTTAAGGGAACTGAAACCAAGTGATTTCTTTCTTTGCTCATAAAAGTGTATCTAAAAGTTACATCTCTACTACCGTTTTTTCAGATTTCAAAGCCAAAAAAATTCAAGAGGTAAGAAGTTGACTATCGACGCTGCCATTTTCAAAGTCAAAATAGTAATCTGGCCGCAAGCTATCGACTCGCGAAAACCATATCGCGCGGTTCACAAACAGCTGCTACTCTGACCACAAAAAGGAAAAGATCATTATTCGCATCAAAAATATAAATTTTTTGTGGCATCTAATTGTTAAGGCAGATCATCATTGGGAGACAAAGCGTGGTCAATGTCATCATTTCATAATGATATACTTCTCACTAGCTGAGATGAAAACTACATGGAGAGAGAAGTGCTTATTAGAGAGGGGATGCTTATTAGAGTGGGAGTGCTTATAAGAAAGGGGGCGCTTACAAGAGAGGGGGTGCTTATTAGAGGGGGCGCTTCTGAGAGAGGGGGTGCTTCTGAGAAAGGGTGCTTACGAGAGAGGGGGTGCTTATAAGAGGGGGGAGCTTATTAGAGAGGGCTGCTTCTTAGAGAGTGGGTGCTTATTAGAGAGGTGGTGCTTATTTGAGAGGGATGCTTAAAAAGAGGTGCTTATTAGAGAGGGGGTGCTTATCAGAGAGGTGCTCTCTAGAGAGGGGGTGCTCATTAGAGAGGGGATGCTTATAAGAGAGGTGCTTATTTGAGGGGGTGCTTATGAGAGAGGGGGTGCTTATTAGAGAGCGGGTGCTTATAAGAGAGGTGCTTATTAGAGAAGGGGTGCTTATTAGAGAGGGGGTGCTTATCAGAGAGGGGGTGCTTATTAGAGAGGGGGTGCTTATTAGAAAGGGGGTGCTTATCAGAGGGGTGCTTATTAAAGAGGGGGTGCTTATAAGAGGGGCGTGCATATTAGAGAGGGGATGCTTATTAGAGAAGGGGTGCTCATTTGAGGGGGTGCTTATCAGAGAGGGGGTGCTTATTGGAGAGGGGATGCTTATTAGAGAGGGGGTGCTTATTGGAGAGGGGATGCTTATTAGAGAGGGGGTGCTTATTAGAAAGGGGGTGCTTATTAGAGATTAGGTGCTTATCAGAGGGATGCTTCTTAGAGAGGGGGTGCTTATTAGAGAGGGGTGCCTATCAGATGAGGGGGTGCTTATCAGAGAGGGGGTGCTTATTAGAGAGGGGGTGCTTATTAGAGAGGGGGTGCTTATCAGAGAGGGGGTTCTTATTACAGAGTAGGTACCTGTCACCTGCTTTCTAAAGAGGTAATTGTTCCACTGGAATAATGGTATTTGTAAGAGTCATCAATTTGCTTTCAATTCCACATTTTATATGATCTGATCAACTACGCTCTGCACACTGCTTGAATACAATACTGTATGAGAAATCCTTACAAACAAGCAAGTGTCCTAGTTCATGACCTTAAAAATTGCAACAATATCCATAATGGTTCTGTAATGTTCTATTCCTTCAATGTAAGTCTAGTTACAAAATCATCCAAAGAAAAGGCAAAAATAACAAGCAATAAAAACACATGTGCACTGAGGTTTGACCTCAGCGTTGAATGACAAAACCTCGGCAGAGACAGGGCCTAGTGCACAGGAAACTTAACATTTACAGTATTAACAGATTAAATTTGGACAGATATTTCAGATTAAATTTAATGATTGAATATGAAAGACACTTAACAGCTAGTTGAAAATAATAACTAATCATGTTCATAGGAAGTTTCTAGAAAGGTGATGAAACCTTTCCCATCCTAGCCTTAAACATAAAGACACCTGTTGATAACATCACCACATTTCACATGCAAGAGACTTTGGCTTTCTTGAACGTAGAGAAAAAGTTGACCAATTATGAACAACTTCCTTCAGGACTACATCCTGTGGTGGAGGAAGGTCTTGGCAAACAATCAATCTATTCAAGCCACACTCGGTGATCAATGCATAGGCCACATTTTAGAAGAGGACGCAGCAAACCACTCTACCATAGCATTTCCTCCCATGTGCACAAAACTGGACAAGGTAGCTGCACAAATTTCCTTTTCTAGGATACATTATGCTATGGAAGGTGACATGATCTTTTGTCGTCCTATAGGAAACCAAGTATTCTGGGACAGGACCACTTCCAAATGCTGCAAAAAAGACATTTTGAAACTGTGTCAGCATCTCAAAGTGCACAGGTTCATGTAGCAGGATTTTCCCTTCTGTATACCGAACACTGAGCCTTTCACCAAGCAGATGTTTTGCAAACCTAGTAGCACTGGGTGTGGATTTGCATTTCTGTGGAACATGCACCTTGTAGGTTTGGCATACCCTTAATTTTTCCACTATTTGCTTTGGGAGTCCCCTTGTTCCAGAGAACAGATTTATAGGGTGAGCGATGAATGCTTCAAATACAAAAGCAGAAGTAAGTGCTAAGGAACCATGGCCAAGAACTCTTGGAAAGAGAAGTGGAATTAAGCATGGGAGTTGTATGTACACTCTTCAATACCATAAAGACTTGGTAAAAGTTTCACAAAGTTATCAAGTAAAAGTTGAACCTCCTCTACACAAGGTTTGGAAATAGGAACTGAGTGCAGGAAATGAAGAGCAGTATAGTGCAAAGTGATAGAAAGTACAGCATACTGAAGACATGGCAGTCCAGCAAAGAGGGCAAACAAACAAAATTCTGATGCTTTTCAGTGTTTTAATTCAGCAATACTACATGGCACTCATGTGGAACTTTGATAGACAGGAACATATTGTCTAGCTCATGACTAATTCCTAGCAAACTGTTTGACTCTGTAGCATACTGAGGATTGAACCAAGGTTTGAATAGCTGCATGTCTTTTCAGGATGCCTTTGCAAACACAATGCATTCAGTCAATAGGTAAATTGTCTGAAATGTCAACCAATTGACAAAACACATTTTCTCTTTTAATACCAAACACTGTGGTGCCTCTTGCCTCCCCAATTCTCCCAAACATCCTGGTTTCGTGTGCTGCTCTGACAGCCACAGTGCCAGAAGGCCAGTATTCGTACAGCCTTGCACGTATTTGCTGGGCAGAATGACTGTACCTCCCTGGATGTTTGCACGTACTGCAGCCAAATTTACCATTGTACTGCTTGATATTTAAAAGCAAGGCTTTGGCAGGCAGGTGTGGTACAACAGATTGGATTCTGCACACTGATGACACAAGTTCACATGTTTCATTACTATAATTACTACCATTTGCCATATTGAATAATTTACTGGTATAATGTTCTGAAATTAGTGGCACATGTGGTTTAGACTTCCCATACCACAGTCCAGTTAGTAAGATATTTTCAAATTTGTATCTTTCTTGAGGAGGTAACTCCACAAGAAAACAAATAAGTGGCCACTGATACTAAACTTCTTGGACTTAATCAACAGTGCACTGCAGTAGTAACTACAATTAAAAGTACTTTCTTTCCTCTGGCACAAGGGTCATGCTGGATGAATTTTTGGTACACTCTATCATCCTGTATGTCTCTTACGCAGTCTGCAGCTGGAAATTGTGCCATAACCATTCTATAGTCTTTAATAAATTGCCAATGTTCTGAAAATATATTATGAGAGAGCAGTTTTAACTCCTACCCTTTCCTTTCTTACTTTGTAAGAGAATAATGAAAAAAACAACCATTATATTAGTATGGGTGAAATAGAAAGGGCTCTGTCATCAATAAAAGTAGCATCAAGCGGATGTTCACACAGAATAGGGACAATTTTTTTAACAAATAGAAACCCTTTTGCAGAGTAGAAGAACTCCCCAAGAAGCAAGACTCACCAAATAATGTCCTTTTTCTCTTTCTGAAGTTTGCGATCCTCTTGAGATATTCGCTTCCCTCACCCAACTGCAACAAGACTGTATAAATAGAGAAGACAAGAATATTAGTTCCTGATCAGTTAACTGTTTTAAAGACAATTATTGATTCTGAATAATGGTAAATTTCTTGAAAATGTTCTGACAGCATTTTCATTATCATCATAGTTCAATTACAATAATAATGATAATAATAATCATGGACCACTTCCCCAGTAGGGCTTGTAAATAAACATTGCAAAACCAAAGATCCCAACTCACCAGAGGGCAGACCAGTAAGCTTTTTACAAGCACAGCTTGGGAGTTAAACTTAGGGCAACTGAAAACAAAACAGTGAGTAATGGGGTGAAGAGCTGAACCTGGGACCACAAGACTTAAGTCCAGTGCCCTAACCACTCAGCCACAATGCCTCCAATAATGCTCATAAAATTCACATGTATGTCATAGCAGCAATAGTATTACATATGTTTTGACTGAAGATACCAGCTGTTAGTAGTAAAATAAAGGCATAATGAAAACAACAAAGATTATTGGCAGACTATTTTAGAAACCATCTAACTACTGGGCACAAACTGAGTCCAAATAAGCGCTAGTATTTAAAAACCTTTCAATCAAAATGACACTGTCAATGTCAGACATGTTATCATATTTTACTCTATCTCTCCTCATTGCTGAGTACTTCCCCTAGTTTTACATTTATTGAAAAAAAAGAATGGTGTCCACTTGTCATTCTCAACTGTGATTTTGCTTTAAGTTAAAAGCAAAATCACTGTTGAGAATCACAAGTAGACACCATTCTTTTTTTTTAATCAAAGACAGATCACATAACCAACATTTTAGTACAACAGATAATACCCATTCAAGAATTTTCATTTTTACCTGCAGGACGTTGCTTCCTTAAAAAAGTTTAGACAAATCCAGCATGTTGTCAATTGCATCCAAACTTTTGCTCCTTAGGTCATCTCAGCATCATCACTTCAATCTGCTACTAAAAATATCAGCATTTAATTGTCTCATGCTATGTAAAAAAGTCACTCAAATGACCGGATTAATTTGGCCATTGCTTACACCCTGTTATATACACCCTGTTATATATATACCTGGTTTTTACAGCTAATTGGACATAGAAAGAAAACAGAAAAACTTAAGAAAAGATGGAAAATGAAAACTAAGCCAAGAAAAAATAACAGGAATTAAATGTTCATTTAACATAATTGCAAATTCTTGATTTTGAAAGAAGTTTTACACATTAGGTTTCATTGAGTTTCTTCTCAAATTCATTTTCTACACCACACAGTTTATAAAAACAAACATTACTTAATTAAGTCTCTTTGTCTACATGAAAGTGTTCCAGAGGACACTGAAACATGCTATGGGATAACTGATTATGAAACTTGTTGCAAAAGATACTTTTAAATTAGTGAGGTATTGCAACAGCAAGAGAAATTACAATTTCTGCCCTCTAATTTAAAATTTCTGGGGAGACCACTTGATGCCTGCAGAGCACAAATGAAACTTCGGTTTTGCAATGTCTAACTTAGCTAAATTAAAAATCCGATGAGACAAATTGGCAGATTTACATTCAAATGCTTTGGAGGTCAACTTTGAAGAACAAAATCAGAAATTTGAATTTTTGTAAAAAGGGATTAACCGTCTATTAACTTTTAGCTCTTAGTTTAATGTTTAAGAGCCTCTGATAAGCAACCGTTCTTGCAATAAATCACCATGATAGAATCTTAAATTTATTTAGAATAAGAAAATCAGTAAAGAAAAAAGAAAAGAAAAAAGGTGTTGCTCTTCTTGACCATAAATATGTTTACAATGCGGCTTAAAATGGGTGTGCAAGTCCTTTAAAAGAATCTCCTTCCAAACATAGCCATGCCATTTGATGTTCATGGAAGATACATTTTGTATCTGCGTCAATCTGTACACTAAAGGACATTTAATATTATCGATTTCTCACCTTTCTTCGTGACCGATAATGAATGTAACACGACTTGGATCACGCTATCACGCTTGAATGTTTAAAATAATCGCTTAAATTTCGTGGTGTTTGTTGTGACTAACGAAAACAAAACAAAAAACATCGAAGGATTGGTGCATGTTAGGGTAGTTCATTTGAGTTGTCCAACAGGGTTAAGTCCATGGACTGGAAGTCATTGTTTTTTCCATCACCCCATTCCTTGGTGATCAGTGCAACATTTGTTAGAAGATGAGTAAGTAACGTTCCTATGTGATAGGATACATTTCATTGTCAAAGTTCTTTGAAGATCTCTCACCTGTCGGGGGGTTCCTGGTAAAATTAGAATTTCATCATGGTAGAAAGATGTTACTGAACACATCCGATGTAAAAGTGAAGACGAGACGAATTTTTAGAACAGCTCATCATCCGTCATCAAATGTAACACAACTGTCGTAATAAACTGACCATTCAGTGCGACATCGAATCTTTCAACCCTAAATTCACAGCAGTTCGTCCGCCATTTTGAATGTGGCTTTTAAGAAACTGGGTCGAGAGCTAGTCTAGGCCAATCAGAAAGAAGACGCCGTCTTCAAAGAAATCTGAGTGCTTAACTTCGACGAATCTGGATTTTGATTTTGAAATCGGGAATTCGGATTTGGCGGTAAAACATGAAATCCAAAAACGACTTTCAACGCTGAGAAATCCATCCTCAAAGTGGATTTCAATTAAGAAATTCAGCTCTGGATCTCATGGATTTATATGTTTTGCGTTTTTCCGGGAAATCCAAAAAGGATCTCTTCTAGAAGGGGTCTCAATGAGGTTAACCGTTGGCTATAAAAAGAAAAAAAAATAGCTTTGGATTTTTTAATAGTGATCCACCTTGAGGACAGACTTTTCAGCGTCGAAATCCGTTTTTGCTTTTCATTTTTTACTAAAAAAAATGCGAAATCTGTATTTCAAAATTTTAATCTGGATTTACCAATTGAAAGCACCCAGAACTTTAGAGCCGTTTTCTCAATATTCCACTGGTATTCGCACTTATTTTGGACTCTTCTGAGTAGAAATAAGATTATTTTTATAAAGCCAACAGCTTTTAGGCTTTTCGACCATCTTATTAAGGCCATCCTCGGCAGCAAGTTTCTTCAAAATTGGTTAATCCATGTTTAGCCTACGTGTAGCCGTACTTGGCGGGGGTAGGGTACGGCTACACCTAAGCTAATCCGGGAATTTTTCTCACTGACAGTAACACTTGAAATAGTCAAGAGAAAACAATGGCCTTTATTCTCTCTTGAAACATTTAAGTTATTCTTATGATTCACTTTCAAAAAATGCATTTGAGTGATGTACGCAGATAAGCCGATAGACAAGGTTTAAAAGAACCGATCCCACTATTATAGACTTACCCCTTTGATGATCATTGGTTTGATGACGTCAGTGGAAAGACAATAATACTGTCTATTCTTCTTAAAAGAACTTTGTTTAGCTAAAAATTATATCTCTACTACCGTGTTTTCAGATTTCAAAGCCAAAAAAATTCAAGAGGTAAGAAGTTGACTATCGACGCTGCCATTTTCAAAATCAACATAGTAATCTGGCCGCAAGCTATCGACTCGCGAAAACCACATTGAGCGGTTCACAAACAGCTGCTGCTCTTACCATAAAAAGGAAAAGATCATTATTCGCATCAAAAATATATATATTTTTTGTAGCATCTAATTGTTAAGGCAGATCAACATTGGGAGACAAAGCGTGGTCAATGTCATCATTTCATAATGATGTACTTCTCACTGGCCAAGATGAAAATTATATAGTTTTTGGAACTGTTGATGATATTTCCATTCAGCTGATATCCTTAAACTGGTAAGAGAAATCTGAAAATCACAAAGCGCAGTCAATGTCATTATCTTATAATAATGTACTTCCTACTAACTTAGACGAAAATTAAATTTTTTAAACTGGAGATGAAATTTCCATTCAGCTGATATCTTTAAGCTGGTTTAAGGAAATCTGAAATGAAAATTCCCTCACAACTGGGCTCCTCTTCACATATCTTCAAACACAAACAAACAATTTAGAAAGACAATATGAAAGTAATGATTCTTTGGACAGTGCTGTCATGTAATCTTAGATTGAGCAACGAACCAAACAAGCCGGAAAGATTTAATTGAGGAAGTTGTACACAAATGAATGAGGGTGCTACACATGAAACTAAAGTCGTCCAAGAGATCATGAAGTAATGATATTGATTTATTTTTAATTTAAAATCTGTTTATATTTTTTTAACTCTGACAATAGGTAAAGGGCCTCAGTTAAGAACAATAGCTGTGTAGGTCCATGAAGAGGTTTCTCAAATATGGCTCAAATGAATTTGTGAATTGGCATTTTTCAAACTTCTTTGCCATTGCTAAATTGACCACGACGTTTTCCCAGAAACCATCTTTATGCCCTGGAAAAAAAATTAAATCTATAGAAAGCTTAGTAGCCCACTGGCATGTATATCTACATGCAACTCCTCTTTACTAGATAGATATAAGAGAGATGGTAAGTTTCCTAGCTCAAACACTTACCATCTCTCTTATTTCTATCGACAAACATTACGCTATCGACATTGCTGATCCTATATATGCAGGACGCGTGTCATATGAACTTCGTAATAGACCTCGCTCACCATGGAGTCTCTGTGGCTCAATGGTAGAGCATCGGAGCGCGGAATCCGAAGGTCTGAGGTTTGATTCCTCATGGGGACCCACAATTTTTTCTTTGTCCCACGCTCGTGAAAAGACGATATATTCATGCCCTCATCCTCGACTTAAGAGCCTGAAGAGTCAGAAGCCATTGTCGCTTTGGCAAATTCTAAAGCTTTTCTTCGTCAAGGAAAAAAAATCAAGTATGAAAAAAGCTCAGCGATATTGAGTTTTCTTGTACATACCGTAATGATTCAATTAGCACCTGGGGCACTTATTAACCCTTGATACCTACAGGGACAGCGCTTATTCGAAACGGGGCACTATTAGGGGACAAGGCGCTATTTAATTCTCGGGAAACAGCAAATTATGCGAAAAAAAGCTTTGATATCGATGTTTATTTGAAAAGGATCAAGAACACTGATGAACGGACATGCAGTCCCCGAGTCTTTCCTGGCCAGGAAGAATAGCAAGGCAATCATCATCACAAAATTTGAAGGCGACATCATTCGTTTAAAGGAACTTTACACACACATGGACATTATAGTTTAGAGACTGAGACGACGTCCACTGTTTTGTATAATAAGGTTTGATAAGGAATTAAGCAATTAAAGTAAGGAATTAAGCAATTAAAGGAAGATGAACCACCTTCGATCGGAATGTGCAGGTACACTAACATTATTATCACTGAAACAGAATAGTGCCACTAACTGGTATAGGGGCGCTTATTGTAATGCGGGTGTTTCATACTCGACAGGGGTGATTATAAGAACAGCGGCGCTCATTAACAAAAACGAATTCGAGGGAGGCGCTTATAAGAGGGGGTGTTAGAGGGCAGTGCTTATATTTGGGGGGTGCTTAGATACATACATACATCTTTATTTAACAATGCAGGTTATGTAAATTGGCGAGACCAAAGTCCTGAGGTGGACCTGCCTAACTACAGCTAATTAAATATTGTCGCATTAAAATAAGGATAAAAATGTAAGTGAGCAAGATATAAATTTCTTAAATACAATAATGATTAGATAAATTTAGATGCAATTATAAATAGTAAATAAATATATAAAAATATAAGTAATCATCATTTTTCATTGAAACACAGCAGGAACCTTTGGCAAAATATATGCTATTTAGTAGATGTTTGTTCGCATTAAGCCCATCTTAAATGATCGTAAATTTGCACAGTCCTTGACGTGATGCGGAAGAAGGTTCCATGCCAACGCAGCCCTGTGTTTAAAAGAGGACCTGCCAATTTCAGATCTTGGTCGTGGCACTCCAGATCTTCTGAATTTCTAAGTTTTGCGTTTTTTGGTAAATCCAAAAGGATTTGTAGAACTACAGCTCTTCTAGGAAGGGTCTCATTGGGGTTAACCGTTAGTTAGAAAATGTACAAAAAAAATAGCTCTGGATTTATTAATGGAAATTGACCTTGAGGACAGATTTTTCAGCATCGAAATTAGTTTTTGCTTTTCAATTTTTACTGCAAAATCCGAAATCTGTATTTCAAAATTTCAATCCAAATTTACAAATCGAAAGCACCCAGAACCTTGGAACGCTCTGCTCACCTCCAAGGAGGAAGAGGCTAGAAAAGGTGCCCTAAAAATAGTCCGTTTAATCACGCCCTTGCCAGCATACCACGGTTGGCGGGGATCCCCTGCTGCTGTCGAAAAACAGGCAGTTGAAAATTGGGAATTTGGCTCGTTTAGCCGAAAAAAAGTGGATTCAGGAGTCCAAAAACAAAAGAGCCATTCGCAAGGTGCGAGCAGCGTCTGCAACCAGTACAGTACCAATCTTTCCCTGTCCAACATGCAGACGCCTCTTCAAGTCAAGGGTAGGCCTCTCAAGGCATCTTCCTACGCACGGACCTTGACTTTTCTGTTTTCAATATTCGAAGTCTCATGGTCATTGTCGAATACGACAGACGAACAACTACCTTTAATAAAAAGTAAAGGTTTTTGAAACTGGTAATGGAATTTCCATTCAGTTTGTATCTTTAAGTTGGTTAGAGGAAATCTGAAAAAAAGCACCTCACAACAGAGCTCCACTTCACAAATCTTTAAACACAAACAAACAATTTAGAAAGGCAATGTGACAGCAATGATTCTTTGAGTGCTGTCATCTAGTCTTATATTAAGCAACAAACCAAACAAGCCAGAAAGATTTAGTGAAGGAAGTTGTATGCAAATGAATGCGGGCGCTGCACATGAAGCCAAAGTCTACCAAGAGATCATGAAGTAATGATATTGATTTATTTATAAATAAAAATCGGTTTATTTTGTTGAAACTCTGACAATAGATCTAGGGCCTCAGTTGAGAACGATAACCGTGTAATTCCATGAAGAAGTTTCTCAAACATGGCTCAAATGAACTCATGAACCAGCAGTCTTTCAAACTTCTTCTTTGCCGTTGCTAAATTGACCACGAAGTTTTCCCAGAAACCATTTTTATTCCCTGGAAAAAATAAAATTCATTACAAAATTTAGTAGCACACTGACATGTACATTAACATGTACCTCCTTTTGAACTGTAACAATGCGCATTGATAGGTCAGGATTGTAGTTTTATTTCTTCCTTTTCCCCTTTTTTTAATAGCGAATTTTTTTCCTGACAGGTTTTATGACAGTGTTGCAGACAGCAAAAAAGAGAAAGAGTTTCCTCAGCGAATTTTTTATTCTTATTTTTTAATTCATTCATCTTTTTTTCGGGTATATGCTTTTTCCCTCATCCTTGACTTAAGAGCCTGAAGAGTCAGAAGCCATTTTCGGTTGGCAAACGTTATAACTTTTCTTTGTTAAAGAAAAAATTGTAGTATGAAAAAAAACTCAGCGATATTG